CTGTATACTCAGACCTTAATGCCTGTCTTCAGATCCTCTCCATCCTCATGACTTTACATTCAGTGATTCCACAGCTAAACATTTAAACACTTCTTTTCTCCTTACTGTAACATCTAACTGCTGATGATCCAGATGTTTATTTCCATCTCTCAGTGCTCCCATAAATTCTATCCTTCAATGCAGCTGCTGACTTCACATCTTCCTTGTGCTTCTCCTCAAACTTGAATGGCTCCTTCACCTTGAGCACCCAAATCAAACTCTTGATTTTCCAACCAAACTTCCTCTAACTTTTGTTGCTTTCTTCAAGCTAAAGGAAACTTCATTCCTCCAGTAACTCAGGTAAAACCAGAGTCATCTTTGACTTCTTTCTCATATAGTCCACATTTGACCCATCAGATTAAATTATAATAATGCCTATCACAGCATTGTTTACAAAGTGAAAACTTGAAAAAAATCTAATTGTTCATCAGAAGAAGACTGATTGAATTATGATCCTACATGCAAACATTAAAAATTATATTGGAGGGGAAGAGAAGATGGCTCAAAGAGCTGGGGTGCATGCTTTGCATGCAGAAGCCCTTGGTTTGAGCTCTGGCACTGCATATGCTGGGAATAACCCTTGAGCACTTCTGGATGTGGCCCCCAAACAAAGTGATATTGTAGATTAACTGGGTAACTGTCTGGAGTCAGTGAGATAGTACAGGAAGGAAGGCACTTGCCTTGCATGATACTCTGGTTCAAATCGCCTGCACCACGTATTGTGCCCTGAGTACCACCAGGGGTCACTCCTGATACTAAACCAAGAATATCCCCAAGTACCATAGACTGTGACCCAAATAAACAACACATGATACCCTCTAACAATATTTTTATGGCCAACCCGAGTTTGATTTCTCCACCCCTCTTGGAGAGCCTGGCAAGCTACCAAGTATCTTGCCGGCATGGCAAAGCCTGGCAAGCTACACGTGACGTATTCAGTATGCCAAACACAGTAACAATTGTCACAATGGAGATGTTACTGGGCCCACTCGAGCAAATCGATGAACAACGGGAGGACAGACACAGTGACATTTATTTTACTGAATCACCATGAGATACAGAGATACATAACTGTTGATGATCGGGTTTTAGTCCAACATCCATTCCTACATATGTACATCCCAAAACTAATGTACCTGGTTTCCCTCCCAACCCATCCCCCAGCCTGCCTCTATAGCAGACACTTTTCTCTCTCTCTCTCTCTCTCTCTCTCTCTCTCATTCCCTCCATCCATTCTCCCCGCCCCCTTTTGGGAAATATGGTTTGCAATCCAGATACTGAGAGGTTATCAGTATCTACTTTCTTTATCTACTTTCAGCACGCATCTAATAATATTTTAATAGGGGGCTTTTCAAGTATTCTCAATAACAATTAGCAACTTAGAGCCATGCGTGCTCACCATCTCTCACCTCCTCCATTGACTTGTTAAGCAAATTGTAGACATCACAATATTTAGTATGTGTAGGACTAATGATATATTTGAGTGTAATTAAATAGTATTTAATAATATATAAATGCTTTAATATATGGAAATTATATAACATGCTCCCAAGGCAGAGTATAAATATATAATTTTATTTTCAAAGTAAAACTCCAAATTTGAATATTTCATACATATGTATATATCTCAGGATTGTGATCTCTAAATCATGATGCTATGAATCATTATTTATATTTTCTTTTATATATATATTTTCCACAATTCATTAGTATTACATGGAGAAAAAGATGATTGTGATTGGAAGAAGTTGTGGATGACAATCTAGCGCTACTCCTTTCTAAATCTAATTACTTGAATTCAGGTTGAGTATTATCTCACATTGCAAAACACCAATGGCCACTTTGCGGAGGTAAGATTCTATCTGTGGACCCCCCCAAACCTCATCCTCTCTGGATTAAAAGCTGTTACACCAATTTTGGTTATAGCATGCTGTTTCAACATCAGCTCTATGAGCATTTGGGACTGGATAATTCTTTCTTGTAGAAAGCTGATCTTGGCATTCAAAGATGTTTTACAACATGCCTGTTCCCTGCCAGTTAGTTGCCTTCCCCAGAACTCACCTGTTGTAACAACCACAAATGTGCCCAGAAATTGCCAAATGTCCCAAGAGGCAAGATTGCCTCTGAGAAACATTGTCCCAGATGATGTGTACAAATGGAAATGAAGCATCTAGGAGCTGAGCAGAAGGAATGTTCTGCCTTACTCTTTGGTAGCTGAAACCTCAAAGACAGTATAATTTGTGATCAGATGAAAGCTGCTTTTGTGATTTACTGACCTGCATTGTTAAATTAAGCATCTCTGGCTCAGTGGTTAATGACTCTTTGCATTTTTGAAACTTATCCAGAAATGATTGAGACAAGTTCAACTTTGTAAAAAAAAATCAACAAAAAATGGCAAAGATCATGAATAAAAGGTTGATTGTCAACTGTGACAGCAATTAGTTAGATTTGCTGCTCTAGCCTACTAACTGACCCATATCACTATTCATCATCATCATCTAGGACACAGGGAAATGTATGCAAGTTAAAAATGGGAGAGTTCCTCCTGGGAGATGAATAGTACTACATACATATACATTCCTTTTTATTAACAAAAATACATTTAAGACAGTTGTAAAAGAAAAGCAAAAAGTACAATTTAAATATTGCATTTTAATTTGGATTTTTTCCCCAAATGGAAACATCCTTCAAGATCCATAGAAATGAAACAAGGGAAAATATGAGGTCATTTTGCTCGTGCTCTTCAAGAGCGACACTGTTCTGTATGCCCCTTCTCTGCAACCCATCCAGAGTTTTATTCAATAACACTCTTTTAATACTATGGGACAGATGAGCAAAGGGTGTAAGCTATGATATTCTAATTTTTGAAGGATTACTGGCATCGTGTTGATTTAATAAAAGAGAAAATTTCTACAAAGTCTCCATTAGAAATCAGTGATCCAAGTTTATCAAGTATAATCCAAATTCTCTCATAAATAGCCTTAGACAATTATACAATTTAATAGAGAACATCTGTGGGAATCTTGAATCTTACTTGCTGTTTCTTGCAAATAGGGTTACTTTTAATTCTAGAGAATACTATATAAGATAATTTAAAATTTTCCTTATATTTATGTTTTCCTTTCAGGGATTCAATGGTTACATTTTGTTTTTCCAAATATAGGGGTCTGGAGAGGTAGTACTATGAAAAGGACACTTGCCTTCTATGGGGCCCACTGGAGATTAATCCCTGGCATCCAATATGGTCCCCCAAGCCCACCATGAGTGATCCTTGAGCACAGAGCAAGGAGTAAGCCCTGAGTAATGCCAGGAGTGTCCCATAAAACAAGCAAAAAAAAAAAAACCCAGGATTTTCTTTAATGGCAAATAATAAACATAATTACAATCAATTACATAAGTCCCCTAGGCTGACTTATTTCTATGTGCAACATAAAATATTTTATGCAATCTATGTAATCCTAGTAATATTGAGGTTCACTGACATTCAAGAAAACATAAGCTCAGAGAGGTTTGTCCAAAATCTCATGCTCCTGAAAGGTAGGGCCCCAGTTCAACACACAATTGAAGTGTGACCCTACAGCTCCGGCTATTTAAGTAGTCATAGCATACAAGGTTTTTTCTTTGAGTCTGTGTAGGAAGACATGTCCTTCCTTGGATTCTTTAAAACAGAGCCCATCTGAGATACTGTAATGGATGCGCCTGTAGGGACCACCACCACCAGTAACCTCTAAAGTTAATGGCAAGGAGGACCTGGGAATTGTCTAGACTGGTTTAAGGTGTTGAGATGTTTTGTTCTAACCTAGAGACAATGCCCAGGCATCTTGAACAGTGGTGAAAAATAAATTGGGTCTTCCTTAAGCCTGGGGTATTTTACAGAGCAGGACTCCCCATGGAAAAATAACAGACATTCATAGGGAGTGGCTCTATATTTTTGGTCTCTAGTTTAGGCTGTAGGCTGTTCAGGGGAGAAGCCAGACCAGCAGGGGCAATCTCATGGAAGCATGGAAAATGCAAGCATAAAGCTTGAAAAAAAAAAAAAAGATATGTGGCCACAGCTAAAGAAAACAAACCCAAACCTCCAACGGGCTGTGGGAAAGTATTCCAACAATTGAAAATGGAACAGCGAACACTGGACTTCAGGCTGTGAGCGTTCAGCCTGATTAATTAAGGTCAAGGTGGTGATGGAAATACCAGCTGGGGAGCATTTTGCCGAAAGATAAATTTGTCCCTCTGTATCTCTGCAAGACAGCAGGGAGGTGTGTGTTTGGAGCTAAATTAATTTGATTTACATCATGCCATGGTAACTTCTGTTCTCTCTCCCTGCTGTCAGATGTCTTAGCGAGCTTTCTCCCTCTCCTGCACCCCCACACATTTCATAACAACGGAGAGAAAAAACACGGATTGGCTTCAGGCAGATTTAGAACTGGAAATAACTCTAATTTGATTATTCTGCATTGAGTCCCCCCCCCCCCCCCACCCCCCCGCCCGTCCCGCAGTCTTTCTTGAGGGAGAGAAGTTGTAAACTCGAACAGCAGCGAAGTGTCTTTTTATATTGTTTCAGGGCACAAACTGCTCGACAATCAGAACTTGTCGGGGGAACCCTGGCAGCTCACCTCTCCTCCTCCCGTGTTTCTTCAACAATGCTAATCCTTTGGAAATGAAGTTCCAGCCCGGGGTTCTCCCTTGAGGAATGTGCTTTTCCTGGGCATGTAGTTTTTCCACTCCACGCCAGGGGCTCTGTCTTGGAAGCCGCCTGGGGAGGTCTCCTGTGTTGTAAAGACCCCCGCCCTGGGTTAGGGAGCTCAGGGCTTCTGCCCCGGCGCCCCTCGACCCCTCGCAGCGGGCCCGGGCGTTGCAGGGCTGGGCAGGATAAGGTTACACCGAGGCTTCCTTGGACGGGAGGAAGGGAGGCGGGTCCGAGCCCGCGCCCCGGCCCGAGGTGGGGGCAGTTCCCGCTGGCGGTGGTGGCGGCGGCGGCGGCGGTGGCGCGGGCCCACCGGGCCAGATCCCCCACCGCGGGCCGGTCCCCGGGATGGCGCGGGAGAGGCCGCCCCTCAGGGGCTGCGGCGGCGCCCTGCGCCGGTGTCTGCTCGGAGCCGCGCTGCTGCTCGGCCTGCGGCTCTGCGCCGAGCTCCGGCCCCAGGGCCGCGGAGCCCCGTCGGGGCGGGCGCCCCCGCCACCCGGGCCGCACCTGCAGCCGGCGCCCGGGCCGCCGCGCGGGGCCAGCAGGAGGCAGGTGACCTACGTGCGCAGCGGGCGCCGAGCGCCGCCGGGGGGCGGCGGGAGCGGGACGGCGGAGCCGGGCTGCTGCGCTCCGCGCGGGCATCCCCGCAGGAAGGTTAGTTGCGAACGACTTGGGGCCCTGTTCAGACCCGAACCGAATCCTCCGAACCCTTCTCTGATCTTGCCGGGGAGCCCGCTCTACTCTCCAAAGGCCGCCGCGCTGGGACCCCCCCAAGAAAAGACTGAACCTTCACGTGGCCCTGTGTCGTCCTTTTTTAAAAAAAAATTTGTATTTTAGGTCCACCTAAAGCTTTGATGCACAGGTACAAAGGAGAAGCACTGGATACTCGGTATCCAGCAGACTGTGCCGAGCAGCCACTGTGTGCTACGACCTCCCCAGTCCCCGGGCATCCCGCAGGGAAGGACAAAGCCCGCTCTGGGCTCTTGCCTCTCCGCAAGGGAAGCAGAGAAAGGACTTTTGTGGGTTTTGTGTGTGTCCTCGGCTTCTCCCAGTTTCCTCCCTGAGGCCTGGGCAGGGGCTGGGGGCTTGTCCTCTGTGAATTGCTTGGCTCCAACACTTTCACCCGCGCGAGGAAGGTCCGCTGTGCGGCAGTCGAATTTCCCTCGAATTCCCTCGCAGACCGAGACAGGGCTGCTAAGGCGGGGTGAGAAGTGAAGCCCCCAGCACCACTAAGTGGGGAGTTAATTGGAACCTCGAGGTCTAAAGGAATCACCCGGTTTTGTCTTACAACACTCGACAGTGTTGCTCTTCCTACCTCATTAACTTCTTGGCTCGCACCTCACTGAATCGTCCAAATTTTAACCTCTGATTGTTAAGCCTCTGGCCTCCAGCCCTCCTACTGGAGCTCAGTAATTTACAGGGTAACTGGCAGAGAAACCATTCAGCGCTGCAGGTCTGGGCTTGCCCAATCCGTGTGTCCATCACCCCCAAGCACATCCTCCGGGACTTCTGGTTGCTTTTCCTCTGTCCTCCCCTCTCCTCCCCCCCCCCCCCCCCAACATTCCCACATCCTCTTCCACCAATCCATCTCTTCGGGGAGAGAAAAACCTTTTCGAAGCTGCTTTTTTTTGTTTGTTTGTTTTTTAAATTAAGTTTACCAGTTCTAAACAATAGTACCCACCCCACCCCTGCTCTTCCACTGTTGTCCTTTCCACTTCCTCTTCCTGGCCCTACTTCTTTTGACTCATTGCTCTTCTTATCAGTGTTGTCTTCATAGGCAAACTCAAATTATTCTCTGAAACCCCACTTCCTTTGTAAAATCGTGATTTGCTCTATCCAAAGGAGGCATCAGTTCTTTCTGCTCCCACTTTTCAGGCTGCCATGTCTGCATTCAGCCTCCCTGCATGGATGGTTTCCTGGGTGGGAGATGTGCCATGTTGCAGAAGGCAAGAAGTGAGTTCAAGTCTAGTGGGGGTAGGCACTGGGCACAAACTCTCAGTAATATGCCTGTGTCTCCTGCTTTGAGGAAGCTCTTGGGCGCTGCAAAATCAGGACCCATTAAACCAAGAGGAAATATTTGACCTTAAATTTGATATTTCCTAAGAGTTCAGGGTCTTTTATCCCACTGGATGTCTTTAAACCAGCCTTGACACCCTCAACTCTATACTGGTATCTATTGTCTATTGTTCCTTTTGTAACTTGTACGAGAATTGAATCTTAGTCTCCATCTCAGCAGTAAAACCTACAGTAATCTAACAGTCTTAATCTGGGGCCAAGCTGCACATGGAACACCTTGGAATTTACAGACTTGGAATCTGGGAGGGGAAGTATCCCTGGACCCCCTTGTTGCAGTCTGGAGTTGATGGTGGTTTATGTAGGGTGGCAGAGTGGAGGCATGGGAAGTGTGTGTGTCTGAGAATTTTGTTTTGTTTGGGGGCCAGCCCCAGTGTGTGCGGGGCTTACTTTGGGTTCTGCACTTAGGAATCACTCTTGATAAACTTGGGGGACCATATGGGATGTGGGGGATTGAACTGAAGTTGGGCGTGTGCAAGGCAAGTGTCCTACCCGCTGTACTACGTCTCCAGCTCCTGTGCCTGAAGATTTTTTTAATGAATTATTTTTAAAAATTGAATCACCATGAGATACAGTTACAAAGTTTTCCTGACCAGGTTTCAGTCATACAATGTTCCAACACCCTTCCCTCCACCAGTGTACATTTCCCACCACCAATATCTCCTGTATCCCTCCTGCCACTCCCCCACCTCCCTAGCCTGCCTCTATAACAGGCCTTTTTCTTCTCTCCCTCTCTCTCTCTTCCCCACCCCCCATTTTGGGCATTGTAGTTTGCAATATAGATACAGATACTGAGAGGTCATAATGTTTGGTCGTTTACCCACTTGCTTGAAGATTTTTAAGGAAGATGACAGAGGAGAAATTTTTCTATTGTGGTTTCATTTTTTGTTTTGAGAGGAATAAGTAGAAATCAGGGGTTTGCGACATCATTTAACTCTTAAACCCAGCTGTAGAAAGCAAATCATTTCACAACGCTTTTTCAGCATGTCTGATTTGGGGGGGGGGGGGTCGTAAACTCTAAATAATAATGGTGCATCCTTTATCGAAACAATGAATCTAGTCAAAGTAGATAGAGTGTTAACTATAACTCATCTGCCTCACAGGAATTGGGAGGGCTGGGAAGTGGGGTTCTATTGGGGTTCGCGGTAAAAAATAAGTATTGGTAAAGGGAAATGTGTTTGATATTTACATGACTGAGACCTAAACCTGAAAGCTCTGTAACTTTTCCCACAGTGATTCAATAAATAAATAAATAAATTTAAAAAAAAAAAAGAAATCAGGGGTTTGATTTCCCCTGATTGTTAGTTGGTTCTGGGAGTATCCTTTGGATACCCAGATGAAAATGTCAAATAGGCAGTTGGACATAAGAGTTTGGAGGAAAATAAAGATAAAAATGTGCGCGTCTTCAGTACACAGTGGTTGTAAAGCCGTGAGATTGGAGATGAACTGGGGAGTAAGGATGGTTAATGAAGAGACTTGAGTCTGAGCCCTGAGCTGTGCATTATTACTAAAATTTAAATTTAAAAAGGGAAATAGAGTATGGTGAGAGTGATCCTATAATGGCAGCTTTCATTTTCATTCCTCTGTCCCTGATCTTTAATTTTAACCGTTTTCCCAAGTAGACTTCATTACAACCTATTTCTGTTCCTCGAGATTTGCTAATTCTTTCACCTGCTGAACTCCTATCTTTCTTTTCTGTGACCCATGTTCCTTCCGCCCTTGGATGTCCAGGTCAAAGATCATTGCCTGGATTCCTTCTGGCATCAGTCCTAGTTCTAGAGCAGATCTTCCCCAAGGCTGAGATGGCAACATATCTGGGTCTGTATTCTGAATTGTGAGTTGCTTTGTGCTTGACTGGCAATCCATTTCAGATCAAACCTTTTTGTCTCCTGTGGTTGTTGATAGAGAAGATCACTTTGCCCACAATGTCTTCTAATAAATACTTCTGAGAAAAAAAGATGAAAAAAAATTTAAATCTTATCTCAATATATTTATCTGTAAACTCTTGCTAACCTAAAAATGCATGAAATCCTTAAAAAGGTAAAGCATGCTTATTTGGTTTCAAAGAATTATGGTTTAGAGTATATAAATGTGGATAGTACCTAAAATATCCTCAAGGAAGCTAAATTTTGAGAGAGAATTTATGGGAAGATGAATGAACAGTTAAAGAGAAGAGGGGGAAAGAGAGGTATCTGGGGCTCTCCAAATGCCCACACCCAGCATAATAAATTTTGATTATAATTTTATTCAAAATTATTATTATTATTATTATTATTATTATTGGTTTGGGGGCCATGCTCTGTGGCCCTCAGGGATTACTCCTGGTTCTGTGCTCTCCAATGTCCCAGCACCATTGGATGTAGCCTTGGAGATTCCCAGCATCACATCTCAGGGCCAAGCACTGATCCTTCTGTAAAGTACTACCTGTTGTGAGTTTCATGGGTGGGGGTGGGGGTAGGGGAGGAGTCGGGGTTGCTTGGGAGCCATCTACCAAAAAAAGTTAATGTAAATACATTTACACATTCTTGATAACCGATTCCATTATTGGCCAAGAAATAAGAAGTCAATCATCAGTCCTGTTATCCAGATGACTTCCTAAACAATTATTTGGTGATTCTTAAGACAGCAGCTCTTTTGGCCTGGTACAAACTACTAATCCAGTTTCTCTATAATTGGTTATTTGCTCCATTTAAAAAAATGGTCCCACAAATTTCAATATTTTATATTTTAAGTGTCTTGACTTAAAAATAGATAGTACAGGGGATTCAGACACTTGCCTTGCACACAGTCAATCCTGTTTCATTTTCCAACACTGCATCTGGTTCCCTGAGCACTGCCAGGAGTGTCCTCAAGTACTACCAGGAGTGGTCCAAAAACAAAAACAAACAATATATATGTGTATGTGTGTGTATGTATATATATATATGTGTGTGTATATACAAATTTATACACACACATATACACACACACTCTTACTCTTGGCTCTGCACTCAGGAATTACTTTTGGCAGTTCTGGGGAACCATATGGCATGCTAGGGTTCAAAACTGGGTCTTCCATGTGCAGGGCAAATGCCCTACCTGCTGTACTACTGCTGTAGCCTCATGGTTGTTATTTTTATGGTTTAAGTTTTTAGCCTGCAAAAGGAAAAAAAAAATCCCTGAATTTCCTTTCCCTTAGCTATTTATTTCCAGGATGTACATTTTAACTTTTTGAAACTCCTAGATAGTGGAATCTTGAAATTTTTTTAAAGACTTTATCTTCCCACTTAAATTACAATTAAATGAAAAGTTTCCTCAGAAGTGGAAAGATAAAGATTATTTTGGGACTAGAATTCAGTATCTCTTTGCCCATTAAACTAACTGAAGGCACGAGTAAGTAATTAATAGAAAATGTGAAAGTTATGTTTAAAATAGCTTGGAACTTCACTTGCCACTGTCACTGTCCTCCCGTTGTACATCGATTTGCTCAAGCGGGCCCAGTAACATTGTGAGACTTCTTCCTGTGTTTGGCATATCGAATACGACATGGGTAGCTTGCCAGGCTTTGCCATGTGGGCCAGATACTCTCGGTAGCTTGCTGG